TCCATCGGATCTCTCCAGGAACGGGCCTCCCAGATGGGTATTCCTGGGATACTGAGTGGTGGCCGGATCTGGCACCCAGTGGGGAATCCGCTGCTTCCACGAGCTGCTTCTCCCAAGCCTGGGTGCTCGATCTGCAAACAAGAGCTGCAAAGGGCTGCTGGCCTGCATGTGTCCCAGCCGTAACCAGGCTTTGTCTTCTCCTTGGTCATTGCAGGAGGAGTCTCGCTCTGAAGAACGCTCCCAGCTCAGGTAAAGGGTTGCGGGGGGCACACGATGCTCTGGCTGCTTGGTGGGGCTCCTGGTTCTTCTCGGCTTGGTCTATGTTAGGCAGAGGTAGCACAAACGTGACCAGATCTCACAAGGCAACGTTGCTAAGCCTGAAGCAGGATGAGATGGTGCTGACAGCTAAAGCAACATGGGCCATTGCACGCCCATGCTCACGCTGCTGCTCCAGGACCTGTGTGGAGAAGGGAAAGATAGTTCTTAGAAGCAAAGGAAGTGCGGAGTTTTGTGTTTCCACAGGTTTCAGTGCACATGACAGTCATGCAGCAGAGTAAAAGCATTTGCAAGTGAGGCTTGCCTGAATTAAGGTGTCTTCTCCACTAACGCTCATGTGTTCTCGCTCCAGAGCCATCCATCTCTCAGCTCATCGATGCCATAGGACAGAACCAGCTGGAGGTTTTGAAGGAGAATGCTGAGGAATGCTTGGATTTACGGATGCCCGTGGAGACGCCAGCGACGGACGAGGTTCCCGTCACCCAGTGGGAGGCAGAGCGCAAGAAAGAGGTCAGTCTGGCCGCTGAGACAGCTCATGGTGGGGACCCTGCTCTGGAGGGGTGGGAGAAGGAACGGTAAGAGTGGCGGGCAGAGCTGGAGGTGCGCTGGGGAGATGGTGTTCAACTACCAGTTACGGGTGGGCTCCTGCAGCTTGAGTGGGACTGCCCCGTGAAAACCACGTAATGCGTCTCGTTTCAGAGGGGTGAGGACATCTTCACGGTCCCAGCCAACACGCTGGTGATCCCTCCTGAGGAGGAGGCAGTTGCTTGCCATGCTTCCAAGGCAGGTCAGTACGGTGGCTTCGTCTGCAGGGTAGGCGGGTGGGCAGTTCAGCACCCAAGCACGCAAAGTAAGGGTCTCCCCGGGATGGGGAGAAGACTTCCTTTGCTCTGACTGCACACCGTGCTGGGACGTGACCAGCAGTGCCCCTTTCATTGCAGACACAAGCGAAGCAACTCCCGGGAGGAGCAGTGATGACAGGACAGTGCCAGGTGACCTGAGTGTCGTATCCCAAGCCAGCCGTGAGTAGTGGGACCTCCAGATCCCATCCAGCCTCGTAGTGTTTTCCTCTGAAGTTGGCTCAGCCCATCTTCTCCTTGGATCGAGCAGAGGAGGTACCGGCATGGCCAGGTCTTTGGGAGACCAGGACTCCCAGCCCTGCCTTGAGCAGGCAGGGAATGGTCCCATTCCTGCAGCCTCCTGAAGCTGAGCAGGAGCTGTTGGGAGCACAACGAATTGTTTTGTCCCTTTGATGCCATCGTGGAGCCTGAGTTGCCTGCCTGAGTGTGGGCTCTTGGCTGGCTGTGGTTCGGCACTGGGATGGGCTTGTGTCACCTCACTGGGCTTGGTGTCACCAAGCTTTGCTGCAGAAGTACCTGCAGGAGCTCCATGTAGAGGAGGAGATGAAGGGAGCTGCTGTCCTGGACAGTGCAGGGTGTAGGAGAAGGTCTTCCTCCCACCTGCCTGCTCTCTGGGCAGTGTCTGCCTCTCCGCTGCCTGCTACAGGGGCTGGCTGAGGTCATGGACAGAGTCTGGCTGGAGTACACCCCAGTTTCAGCTGGAAAGGGCTCTTGGAGCTCTCCTCGAGTGCCGTCTCTGTCCGAGACCTCATGCACAGTTCTTTGTAGCCACCGCAGGGTTGCGAGCGGGCAGCTGCTTTCTTTGCCAAAATCAACCCCCTGACTTCATTGTTGCAGCCGCAGAGTCAACAGCCTTGTCGGAGAGCTCGGAGGAATCCCTGGACAACCCCTGGAACAGGCTCCCCCCAATATCTTTGACCCTGAACTCTTCAGATGGTGAGTCCCCATGCCCCAGGGCGTCCAGCCTGCCTTGCTGGCAGGAGACAACTCCTCTCCTCTCGCTGGGTGACCATGTAGCTCATCCTGGATGCTGGCTTGCTTTCCCCTGGCCAAAAAGTAGTGCTGTAGCGTTCCCGTTGCCCTGTGCCTGCATCGTTCCAGCTCCGACGCTCTCCTGCCCAACCTTCCTGGTCCCACCACCAGCCGCCTGCCCAAGCTCACCATGCATTTTCTCTTACCAGAGAAGACCTTTCAACACGACCTTTCACCGAAGACCCACCAAGATGTGGCTGCTGACAGCAACACCCCTGACTTGCTGGAACCGTGCAGCCAAGATTCTCCCAAGGGCTTGCCGCAGGGAGAGCCGGTGCAGACCTCCTCTCCCTCCCTGCTCCACTCCTATGGCAATACCAGCCCGGTGGAGACCGGCACCACCCAGGCAACATCAGCTGCGGAGGCATCCTGTGATGCCCCCCGCCCTGCTCGAGGCCCGCAGGTATCGGGGGGCTCTCAGGCCACCCTGCCATCTCTTTCTCCGGCTTTTCCCGTCTTGCCCAGCAGCCGCTTGCAATCCCTGCCCGAAGGGATGCCTCACAGGGAGCAGGCGGACTCCAGTGGCACAGCTTTCCCTCCAGCTCGTGCCAGGACCCAGGGAGGAGATGCTGTGGGTGCCAAGAGGAAGCTGCTGGCAGGAGATGGCCAGGCACTGCCGGCCCTCGGTGGGCAGCAGCATCCCCAAGGTGCCCCGTGGGGCAGGGGGAGAGGCAGAGGTAGGAGGGTGGAGTTCATGAGCACATGGGGCACGAAGAAGAGCAGAAAGGAGGAGCGGCGGCGTGGAAAGGAGCTTTCTGAGGAAGAGGAGGAGGAAAAGCAAGCATCCCCAGTGAGCGGCCCCAGCTCCAGTCTGGAGCAGCACAGAGCTCTGCAGCCGGTAAAGATGAAGCAGCTGGTGGGGTCCCCTGGGGGGTGGTCCCCGGGGAGGTTCTCTGTGTCCCCCCACCGCTGGTGTCCATCCCCGAGGCCTTTCCTCCCCTGGCTGGTGGGGATGGGGAGTTGAAAGCGGGTGGCGGTGTAGATGCTGGCCCTAACCCTCCTGAAGGAGGATCCGGGGCACTGGGTGAGGGTGTGGTTGAGCCCGAGCTGGCTGGGAACCAACACTTGCTGGAGCATCTTCCAGCTCTCCGGGTAAAATAGGATTGGAAGAGCAGGAAACGACTGAGGGACAGACTCTGGAGTTTTCCTAGGTGTATCGGGGTCTCGGGCTGCGTGGCGGGGCTGTGCTCTGGGTTTTGCGGTTGGGGCAGACCAGCCTCACCCTCCCCCTTCGCTTCTGCAGTACGTGAAGGAGAAGCTGGTCCAGTACAGATATGAGGCACCAAGCCCCGAGCTCTGCGAGCGGATAAGATCTGTCAGGTCAGTGCAGCGACGGCCTCGTACGGCTGTCCCTTGTTCCCCCCACAGCTGGCCCCGTGGGATGCGGGCATCGCTGCTTGCATCCCTGCAGCGGGTCCCCAAACTCTGCCTTACCCCTCATCCTCGTCCGGCATGCGGCAGCGTGTCCCCAGCCGGGTCCCTTCTCACCCTGGCTCCCCCGGTCTGGTTTCACAGGATCTCGAAGGCGATGCTGAAGTGGGCGTGCTGGATACTCACAGACGGGGAGGTGGACTCCTGAGCCCAGCCCATCCTTTGTTTCTTCACCGGTTCAGCGAAAACAGTTTAGGGCTGCCTGGGAAGAGCAGTTGAGGGAGGGATGGGGGGACACCAGGACCTCAGTCCCCAAGGGGACCGCTGAGTGGGTTGGCCTGGCTGCAGAGACCCTGGCTCCAGACGTGCTGGGGACATGACCTGTTGAAGGCCAGCACCCTCAGCGCTGAGAGGGGAAAAAAAGCATCCATTCAGGGATGCCTGTGCGTGAGCCAGCATCCCTCTCCCACCTCTCCCTCTCCCTCCTTTCCAAACGCCCTGGCCCAGCGACTGGGGACAAGAGGTGACCTGGCGCCACCGTAGCAGGGGCGGCAGCAATTGCAGAGGCCCCACAACCTGATCCCCGCTCCGAAGGCAGCGCAGGAGTTTGGACGTTTTATTGATTGGTTTAGGTAGGGTCCTGCGCTGTTCGTTACAAAAAATATCCTGCAGGGTTATGCTGTAGAAATTAAAAATAAAAATTGTATATTTTTTAAATACACAGCTCTTGTATTAAAAAAAAAAAAAAGGGAAAAAAATAATAAGCATCTTGCTGTTTTGTCGTAAACATCCGTGTAAGGAATGCATTTGGTCCGGGGCGGAGGTCAACACAGGAGAAAGCCGCTTGGGTGTTGGGGTAACGCTGGTGCCATCGGGAGAGCTGCGGGGATGGCGAGGCAGGCGCGGCTGCGGCTCGGCTGCAGAGCTGCGTGCTGAACCACCATGGGTCATGGTCCCGCTGATGGAAACTTGCAGGGGGGGAGGGGGGCCGGAGAGCGCGGTTCCCCGCGGGGTGAAGAGCTGGAGTGTGAAAGGGCCTACCCCGCGGGGTGAAGAGCTGGAGTGGTGAAAGGGCCCTGGTAACGCTTGCTAAAAGTGGCTGGCTGCCAGCACTGCCGCTGCCTGCGCTGCCTCCCCAGGTGCTGCCTAAAGTCACCGGCTCCCCTCCCTGCAGCCTGCCACAGCAGAGGCCATCCGGGGAAGGCGATGCCGCTCGGCACATCCCGAGGGCTCCGGCACGGTCCCTGGGCATCCCTGCCCTCCCGGGCGATGCTGGTGGCCCGGCTGTCCCTGCAGCGAAAGGTGTCGTTGGCCGGCCCCGCGGCCGCATCCACGCCAGCCCGGTACGGAGCAAGACCTGCGCCCCGTCTCTGCTCTCCACACCCCAGCTGCCAATCACCCCAGCACCGTGCGCTTGCTTGCAGGGTTTTATTGGGAACAGTGCAGCGGCATGCAGGGGCTTCACTGTCCCAGGGCTGGCTCCCCCCGGCCTGGCACCGGGCGTCTTTGGTCTACGGCTGCTGAGTCTTGTGCATTCGCAACAGTTTGTGCCAGGGCTTGCGGCCGCTCGCCTTCGGTGCCCGCTCCAGCCTGCAGCTCCTCCAGCCCGGCATGGGGCCAGTCCTGCGGCGTGGCACCTAGAGAGGTCACGGGTGCTGGCGTGAGCGCAGGGGGAACCCTCCGCACCCCAACACCTGCTTTACCAGGGGTGCAAGGGAGGGGAGCATCACGTCTCACCTGCGGCATCCGAGGACGGTCCAGGCTTGCCCTCTGGCTCCGGGAGGGAGTCGTGCTTGGTCCTCCGTTTGAACACAGGTGACCGCCGCAGGCGCAGGGGGACGGTGCCTACCGGGGGAAACACAACCCAGCCCCACGTTACGGTGGGGCGCAGCCACCTGGCTCCTGCCCCCTTTCTGCCTGCGAGCCCAGGCAGCCCGGCTGCTGCCAAGTACCCCCAGGATCTTCCCAGTGTGGCGATGCCATCATCTATCACCCCGGCACCGTGGGCAGCCACCCACCAGCTGAGACAGGCAGCACCACCAACCACGTGGGCTGCCACTGTGCCACTACCTGCCTCCTCTAGAGTGGGGTGCAAGGGGGGTTTAGGGTCCCCCTCCACCCCCC